GAAAGCTACCAAGCTTGGTTTACGCACGGTTATGACCCAACCTTGCTGGTGAACCCTCCCAAGTAGTCAGGCTCCCCGTATTTGGTGGTTTGGATTGGTTTGGGGGCTTGAACCTCTTCTTGTGGGCAAATGGGAAAGCCCGCAACACCTCACCAATCACCAATCCAGACCCTTTTTGAGGGAAGCCTTCAGTTTCAACATCCAAGAAGCTAGCAGGTTGCGAAATCGCCTCGAGGTCAGAGCGTAAAGGTGCTCTCGATGCTCCTGCGCAAGGCGGTCTCTCCGGCAGAGACAGAGGGGAGAGGGGGGGTGGTCACGTCCTAAGTGGAGGGGTGGAACCATCACTTCCCAATGAGTGGCATGTGGAGTATGATTTAAGTATCCCCCAGCTTTCAGAAAGGACGTCGAAAACAACAAAACCACTCCACAAATGGCGTGTCGATTTATCCTTTGAAGATCCGTCCAAGATGGAACAGGCGACAATGGCTCATACTGGATCGCCTTGGCTGAGATGTCCTTTCTGGGTTCAGTTTGGTTCAGCATACTTAGCAGTGATTCCAGGTTTTTAACATTGGGGGACCCCCGCCAGTTGCTTTCAACTGGACACATCAAAGTACGCCAGATCTGGTTGGGCTCAGTCCATGCAATGCAGAACAAATAATACCGAGGCCACCTGTTTGGCAAAGCAAGCTTGCACATGGATGCTTTTGTAGGCGACGCCCGTTTCAAAGGGAAACTGTCCAAGCCAGAGTCCCGCAAGTCTGAGCCATGCATACCCTCTTCGCATGCATGTGTACACAGAGAGTTGTCTTCCTTGTTGGAAGGGTTTTTTTGCGAACAAATCCATGTTGGAGGGTTCCACAGTTGTTCGCCCCATTCGGGGGGTTGGCTGAAATGATCAAGACAGAAGGCCCACTGCCTTGCGCGCCTACCTCGTCTGCCCGTGAGGCGCGGCTTCACGGGTACGTGCTGCCACCGCAGACGCGGTACAGCAACGGCATGGATGAGGGCGGCAACACCTATGAGGCGAAAAGGAATCGCGGGGGGAAGCTTAATGGTGCAAACTCCAGCACTGGTGGGCCATGTGGGCAACGTTGCTGAAGCCATTGCTACAATTTCTGAGTTCAAAAGATACTCTTGGGGCGGTGTAGGGTCTAGCCGCTGTTTAGAGTCTACTTTTAAGGATGTCACTTTGATAGACCTAGTATTTGAACCGTCATGGTGCTTCACCAATTGAAAAAGCGACGTACCCTGCCAAAGCGTGCACTCAGGCGGCTCGGCAGTAGAGATTCTGCAGGGGGGTCGCCCTTTGGACACGCCCGGCTAGAGCATGAGTTTGCTCTTCCAACAATCATGGAACTGGTCAATCGGAGGGTCTTTGGAAGACAAGATGTATTTGAGTCTCTTGGGTGGTCCCCACAGGAGGAGTGTGATGTTTTTACGGCCAAACCCACAACTGGGCGGCGCAGCAAATGGTCCACCCGATTACCATTCACAGATGTCTCTCTCTCACTCTCTCTGTCCATATACGAATGTCTGCCTTTACGCAAATTCACTAAACATGCATAGAGGTTTCCCACAAAACACAACATACACCAGCCATGCCCTATTTCCAACGCCGCCCGCGCCCGAATTTTTTGAAGCCTCGTTCAGGGCGGCGCCGTGCTGGATCCGTTGAGCGGGTTCTACGATGAGCCGGTGGTGACCTTGGACTTTGCGTCCCTGTACCCGTCCATCATGCAGAGCCTCGGGCGTGGCTGTTTTGAGGTGTGTGTGTGTGTGTTTTTGTTGCTCCCCCGTTTCTTGGCTCTGGCTTGGTTATGGGTTGTCTAGTTTTTTGGACTCCGTTTTGTTTGGCCTTTTTTTGGGGGGGTTCTGTAGGGTGTTAGGGGGGCGCTGCAAGAACACCAGGTGTTTTCATACCTAGGCTTTCTGGTTTCGGGAACTTCGAAAGAGAAGGGGGTTGTGGGGGTCAAGGTAAGTGCCAAAGGCCTTATTTCCAGCGGCTGGTTCAGGTTGGGCGCCCCTAAACCCGATTTTTGAGGGCGCAGCCAAAGATGGAGGCCCATTTTGGACATGCCGCTTTAGGGTTCCCTGTGTTTGGACACAGGAGAAGCTTCCTAATTTAACACTTCACCGTTCTTTGCGTCTTTTTTTTAATGTTTTAGTGTTTTTGGGGGCTTCAAACAGCACATTTTTTGCTACCATACCAAGGGTTGGGAAGAACACTTGAGGGTATTGATCATGTGCCATATGACGTGTTTGGGAGCCCCGTGTCAAGGTGTTTGCGGCTTATGCAAAGTTGGTGTGTCTTCTGGACACACAGAAGCTGTCATTGGTAGATCGGGTCTGTTTGCCGAGGAAGCACAATCTCTGCTACAGCACCATCATCAGGGCCACAGCCCCTCCAATGATGGAAGCTTGACTGCAAACATGGGCATGTGCGGTGGGCTGGGTCCGCGTAGTGGAGCTGAGGACGCATACGCCCCATACATGTTGA